AAAAAACTTGAAAAAAATGAAATTAACGTAAATTATACATTTCTATCTCTCTCTATTTATAACTTAAACACAGTGGCGCGACAGCTCATGATGGTCAAGGCATACTGTTCCCAACTCAGTATACGATATCATGGGCCCTGAGGTGCATAAGCAGATGTTCCGGTCAGGTGGTCAGTCTGACGCGAAACCTCCCAGTGTTAAGTTCCCAAGCAAGCTTGGTACGCATTTTATCGACCCACTGAAGGGATCAAAGGCTGAGTATTTTCTTTATATATATATATATATGTATATATATATATATGTATATATATATGTATATATATATATATATATATATATATATACATATATATATATATATATATATATAGGTTGTTTCCGTAGTCTGGTTTATGATAAGTTGCAGTCGTTAAATATTTAACATTATTTTGTTAAACATTTTATTATTATTATTTAATTTATGATTTAGAACTTCAAATTGTATTGTAATTAGTTTGAAGCACGATGATTACTGGTAAGCAACGCAGTGTGCGCCTTGCATTGCAAATTGGAAAAATGAAAAGGTAGTTTAGGAAATGTTTACAAGCTTAGTTTATATTTTAAGCGTAGGAAACTTTCCGTATTTCTGCTAATTCCTCAGATTTTTGTTGATCAGGATGCTAATGGATAAGTTAAATTTACATTTAAAATTAAAATTAAAATGATTAAATCCTGCTAGAAGCGAGAAAAACCAAAAATTATGATGCTCGAAAGTGCTAGAGCATTGTATTTAAAAATGCATTATATATATATAACCTACAAAATAATTTTAATGAGTACGAACATATTTAATTCATTACTCCCAACCCTACCCCCACATATATATCTGTATATATATATATATATATATATACATATATATATATATATATATATATATATATATATATATATATATATATATATATATACATATATATATTATTCATGTTGTTTCATATTTAAAAATGTTTTCATAATAATAATAAGATTCAGCTCGAAATTCAGAAGGGATAAGTTACTTCTTCCAGTCTGGACACTCTTAAAATGTTTTTTTTTTTTAGTTCTAATGGGCTGCAATTTAGAAACTAAATCTTTGTAGAAACGGGAAGTCCGAAAAAGTGAGCGCCATTTCAGTGGTGACGCCATTTTGTGGCGGCTCTCGCTACCAAATTTGGGCATGCCGCCTCTTAGCCACCGAGCCTCTTAAAATGTAGACGATTAACTGTTTCTCATTTTAATCCACCTGATATATATATATATATATATATATATATATATATATATATATATATATATATATATATACTCAGGAACATGGAAAATAGCGACCCAAGAAGGAAGCAAGCTAAGTACACAATCACGAAATTTTGCAAATAAGTACAGCGTAATGTAATATGCAAATGATCCAAATTTTGTGCCAATGCGCATGCTTATACACACCGAGTTGGCGCTGCAATCAGGAAGAGGGTGCTATATAAGCCAGCGCAAATTCGAAGATTCATAAACGTGACGATTACCCGCCGATTGTAGGAAGACTTTGGTAAGCGAAACAGGCCAGGTAAACGTGCTAGAAGACATTTCTCACAGTTAAGCGAGTTTAAGAGAGGCCTGATCATCGGGATGAAAACTGCATCCTGGTCGACGTGCCGTGTTGCTGGCCAAGTGGATTGTTCGGAGTGTGCCGTTAGAAATTGCTGGAAGCAGTGGACACGAGAAGGTACCCACACGCGGAAAACCGGGTCTGGAGCGACCAGGAAAACCACGAGGAGAGAGGTTTGAAGGATCGTGCGGCAAGCACTTTTGGACCCCACAGTGACTCGTTCAACGATACGAGCAGACGTCGGCGTAGCAATTGTTCCACAAACAATTTCCAGACACCTTGCAGAAGCAAATCTTAAATCCAAGCGCAATTTCCGTGCACTCCCTTTAACACCGGAACATCGGCAACTGCGTCTACAGTGGTACAAGCCAGATCAATGTGGAATATTACAGATTGGCAAAAGGTTGTGTTTAATGATGAATCCCGGTTTGTTTTGGGACAGATGATAACCGTGTATGGGGTATGGAGGCACCCTGGGGTGAGCGGGTACAATTCCTCACACTGCCCGCACAGCTGGTGCAATGGTCTGGGGGCCATAGCCTATGATAGCTGGTCCATCCAATTGTGATGCGTGGAACCTTAACGGGCCAACGTTACGTTGATGATATTCTTCGACCCCATGTAGGACCTTTCCTAAAATGGTCTCCCAGGGGCAATTTTCCAGCAAGATAATGCTCGTCCGCTTACAAAGTGTTTTCACGATTTCTACGTCCTTTTCAGGACTCTTCCATGGCCGGCCCGCTCCCCGATTTGTCTAAATCGTGCCACTCTGTACATGATTTAGAGTTGGCTGTTCAAGATTTGTGGACCGATCTGCCTCAGTACAAATGGGTGTGTCTAATCAACTCCATGCCGGACCGTGTGGCGACATGTGTATTGCAGCTGGAGGTGGTCCAACACGCTATTGAAGCTGCCCAGTATTTGTGTCGTTGCACACCCTGTATTCGTTTAATTGTCTTGTTTTGAGGTCAGTGAATCTCTCATCTGTGTCATTATGTGTATTAAATTTCATTTCAATCCGATGCTTTCTTCTTGGGTCGCTATTTTTCAATGTCCCTGAGTGTGTATATATATATCATATTTATGTTATCTACTATAATCATTTTATACATTTCTATTCCTATTATTCAATTGGTACTATTAGTTCACTCTCTTTCTCTCTCTTGTTTGTATATATATATATATATAGTATATGTATATATATATAGTATATGCATATACACTGGCCTCAAAAGTTAAGGTACAACATGTTTTTCGAAGCTCACCATAAAAAATGATAACAATAAAATGCATAGTTTACATGAATGATAATAACGAACTTTAAAAACATTAATGCAAAACGATTGCTACCACTGTTATTTTATAGAAAAGAACGTATATTTATGAGTGAGAGAAAAATATGCAAATATCGCTTTCGTACTTTGTGTGTAAGGTGTGTTGATTTTCAACAGTTGTTGGCAGTTTCGGTGACAATAGTCAATAGAGTTTAGAAAAATGTCTCAGAGACGTCGTTTACCCAATTCGTTAAGGTAGCGGGCAGTTGGATGGATGGAAATGAGATTGTCGTAGGCTGATGCTGCGACGTCCCAATGTGTCTCGTAGTGTTGTTCAGCGACTTTGGGATCAATACCAATCCGAAGATTCTGTGTCCAGAAGACCTGTTCCAGGCCGACCACGAGCTACAACACCTGCAGAAGACCGTTTTCTAGCTCTTTCGGCACGAAGGAGAAGAACCACTACTGTGCCGCAGCTCGTTGCAGACCACTTTCAAGCACCAGGAAGAAGAATCTCCGCTATTACGGTGCGAAATCGTCTTCACAATGCAGGTCTGTATGCAAGAAGACCAGTTGTGTGCGTTCCCCTCGACGGACGACAGCGAAGGAACCGCTTATGCTGGGCAAGAGAACATGTTTCTTGGACGCAGCAACAATGGGCTTCTGTGCTGTTCACAGACGAGTCCAGATTTACAATGGAGAGTGATTCAGGGCGTCTACTGATCTGGAGGGAACAGCGCACTAGATACCATCAATCAACACTGTTGAAAGACACAGTTATAGAGGTGGTGGAATCCTGGTTTGGGCAGGGATCTCGCTCGGTGGCCACACTGACCTGCATGTGTTCCATGGAGGAACCGTAACTGGTCTTAGATATCGGGATGAGATCCTTGATCCATATGTCCGCCCATATGCTACTGCTATTGGTAACGACTTCATTCTGATGGATGATAATGCACGACCTCACCGAGCTGGGATTGTTGAGGAGTATCTGGAGGATCACGGTTTGGAACGAATGGAATGGCCAGCTCGATCTCCAGACCTGAATCCGATAGAACATCTTTGGGACTATCTTGGCAGAGAGGTTGCTGCTTGAAATCCTCCTCCAAGGTCGTTACATGGGCTGAAACAAGGCTTACTCTGTGTCTGGTCTTCGCTTCCTATTCCGGTGTCCGACAACTTAATAAAACAGCATGGAAATCGATGCCGCCAATGCATTCAAGTTAGGGGTGGACACATTCCTTATTAGAATCCATTTTTGTATTGTTTTTATGCCATTTTACCACATAACACTGTGATGTGCTGTTTTCTCCAAGAATGGGCTTTTCCGCAGAGATTGCTTTTTTGTTATAAATCGTTTTTTTGCAATACACTTATACAAATATCTATGACGCATTCAATAAAAAACTATTTAATGCACATATCCTCCAAATTTTTGTTTCTACATTCATTCATTTGCAAATTAGACACAAAAACCCGGTTGTACCTTAACTTTTTGAGGCCAGTGTATATATATAGTATATGTATATATATATATATATATATATATAGTATATGCATATATATATATATATATAGTATATGTATATATATATATATATATATATACAGTAGCACACACAGGAATTTTTCAAGGGGGTCCATGGTCGAAAATTCCCTGTTCTTGTATCATGCTCCTTTTGATTTTGTCGATTTTCGGGAACAAAACACAGTAAAAAACTAATTATTGAATAAATAATTAGCATTAATTAATAAAATTAATCATTAATAACAAGTACTTAATTAAATTTTGTGTACTATAAACTTAGAATTTTAATCAATCGGAAAAAAAATCAAGGGCTTTGGGGAGGGTCCGGACCCCAGGACCCCCCTTGTGTGCGCCATTGTATATATATCTTGTTCAAATTTTCAATCGTTAATGAAATACTTTCTATCCATCCATTCAAGTTCCGATACTTTTTTAAACTTGTAGTGGATGACACTTGACGTTAATACAGTTTTTTCAGTTTTTAATTCATTAATTAAATTAAAAAATGAATAAATACTAACAAACAAAAGTAATAGTCCAACACCATATACAGAAAGGAAAGTCGTTCATTGTGTCCATATAGTGCAATGCATAGCACGTTGGACCTCTAATCCAAGGGTCATGGGTTCAAATCCCACCTGAAATGGCCTAATTTCTGAGAATGTAATTTCTTTTTTTCTATGTTATTTTATTAGATTAATTAAATTTAAGTAATGAATAAACAAAAAGTCCAATACAATATGTAGAAAAAGGAAAATCGAAAATAGCCAGGAAAATCGCTTTCTATTTTGTCACTTAATATAGTGGTTCTGTCATATGCAGTAGCGCACACAGGAAATAATTTATATAATACTATTTAATAAAAAGTAACTAAAAAATAAAATTTTTCTTTCTTGACCTAAGTACGAATTGAATTTTTTTTTATATTACTTGTTTAAGTACATTTTATGATTTTTTTTTAAAACATATATTTTGCAGTTTCAGTCTTCAAACATTATTCTTCGAAAGATCGAAAGCTTTATTAAAAGGGGGGGATTTAAAAAAAAAAAATTTAGTCCGTTATTAAATCCTTTAAAATATTATTAGAGCTTGAAAAAATGCATTTTCTCCCCACTAAGTAAAGAAATTAAAAACCTGTCCATTAGTGTGTTTAATCGTGTGATAACAGAAGGATAAAAATTAAGAGAGTCATTAATTATAAAATAGGGGAACAACATGTAATTTACTGAAATTTGATTTCTAGACAAAAGAATAAAATCTGCCGAAGTAGCCGTCTTACGTTATCGTTCATTGGTCGATTAACTTGGGAATAGAGCAACTGACGGCTCAATTGAGTTGTCCAAACAGAGTCTGTCCGAACATAGCACCGCCTACTGACTTTCTGGTTGGCCGACTCACACCAGTTACTGACAATGCGAACTTACTTAACAACCCTTATCATAACTTCATGAAGGCGGTTGGATTTCAGAGTATGACGAGTTATATCAGAATGAAATATTACTGTAATTTTCAAGGTTGACTTGCCGTTGTCGCTCTTCTCATAACTAGAATTGTTGTAAATAGGAAACCCTATAGCTTACCTGGAAGAGGGTATTCGAAAGAGAATTCACTTTATGTCTAATAATTGAATGAGAAGAGAATTAATAAAGATTAGCGGTTTATTTGAAATGAATGACTGGAGAGTAATTAGGTGCATCTAACAACTCTACAAAATGAGCGCTCGGATGTATTAAGCTTGTTTCAATTTCAAATAATTACTGTAGAACCTGTTAAGGCTGTTTTCACCAAATGTACGAAAACCTGAACTGAACGCGGAGCATATTTTTAAACATAAAAATGTCTCAATTTTCATAAAAATTTGCTACATTGTAATTCATACAGCTGTCGATAATATATATATAGCACAAATAGCGTTTTTAAAATTTCAAAATATTCCATAAATAATTACTTTTTCGTTTTAACATGTAAAAAGTGATAACTCATTTAGCATTACGGTATAGGAGAAAAAAGGCGAAACATATTTTATACTGGAAAAAATGGATTAACTCAGATTACACTGAATAGTAAGATAAAATAGATGATTATCTATAGCCGGGGTGGGCATTAAGTCAATCGCGATCGACCAGTGGACCCCCAAGACATTTTGTGGTGACCGCCTTTAACTAAGACCTAAGATGTCCATATTAACAGAAATATATTTATGGAACATCGGTGCCAGTTAGAATGAATAATCGGCTTTTCACAACCCATGTGACTATGTGTAGATGACACATTATATGACTAAGACGCTTAACACATTCTTTGGGATTATGGGGCGGGGGGGGGGCTATGCGATCAACCCGATGCCACCAGTAGAAATGTACTCCCCCCTCCACACGTCTAAAGGGGAAAATAAACGTTGGTCAGTTATTTTTACACGGGATTAAATTCTTGTGTTCACGTTCTGGTGGGAAACGTTGAAAGAGACGCTTCAAAACTATGCATGTAAGTTTTAATACACACTTTCCTTTAAAAAGCTATTTGCGTAAACAAAAATTAAAAGAATTTATATCGCAATTAATCGGACAACAGTCATCTTTTGTTAAACCCCATTCTTTATCTAAAGCTCCAACTGTCATTCTGCTTCGTGTTAGTCATCTGTTAGCAAAACATAAGAAACATTTAGCAGATGGAGAAATAATAAAAAAAGTGTTTCTGGAAATTATTCGATTCATTCAAGAATAAAACTGAAATTTTTTCCGCAATTAAAGATATTCAAACTTTCACGTAGAACTATCACACGCCGCATAGAAATGATGAATTCTGATCTGGCTGATCAGCTGAGGAAAGATATCACAAACTGTATTTGCTTCTCTTTGCAGTTTGTGCGTGGGTGATATTTCTCAACCTTGTATCTTTGTAAGAATGGTTTTTCAGGATATGAGAATAAAACAAGAATTATTGACAATATCACCCCTAAGGAAGAAAACACGAGTCGGAGATGTTTACTGCGCCTTCAAAAAATACATAGAAGAGAAAAATATTCGAATTTATAAAGTTGTGTATCGATGACACAACTGATGAAACACCATCAATGACAGGCACAGTCAATGGATTTTTGTTTATGTGTATGAGAGACGATGACTTTCCGCATTTCCTTTCTTATCATTGCACTATTCACCAACAGGCCCTGTGTTGCGAAATTCTGAATATGCGTCATGTTATGGGAATCTGCATGAAAATCGTGAACTCAATTCGAGGAAGAAGTCTTTAGAGAAGAATGTTTCGAGCCCAACTAGAGGAAAACGAATCTGATTACGGTGAATTGTTACATCATGCTCTGATTTCCGTTGGCTCTGTCGGAGTATATTTTTACAAAGATTCAGGGACATACTACAAGAGGTAAAATAATTTTTGGAATCAAAAGATGAAACCTACATCAAACTTAGTGATAAAATTTGGTTGATGGATTTAGCTTTTGTTGTTGATATAGCAAGCCATCTTAATGAATTGAATTTACAATTGCAAGGAAAAAAATCAAGCAATAGTAGAACTGATAGGATATGTTAATACTTTCAAAAACAAGTTAAAGCTATTATCTTCCCAGCTAATGAAGAATGAATCAAAAAATTTTAAAAATATTCCTGACGAGTTGTCGAAAAACGGGGGTACATTAAATAAAGAAAATATTATAATGAAATACTAAAACTTCACTCAGAATTTGAGAGACGTTTTCAAGAATTCACTAGACTAGAACCGATTGTTACCTCCATGTGTTACCGATTTGGCAATATTCATGTGAAAGACATAACCAAAAATATAAATTATATATTATCTTTATCTCTTGAGGAAAACGAAATTCTTCTTCAAAAGAACATAATTTTAAAAGCACGTAGCTCAGAACCTAAGAATAACTTTTGAAATCTAATGGAGGAAGCAAAGCATCCTAATTTAAAAAAAGTTGCATCCCATTTAACATCGTTCTTTGGCTCTACCTGCCTGTGTGAATTAGCTTTTTCAACCATGAATATAATTAAGAATACATATCGGTCCCGTCTCACAGACGACCTCTTAGAATCCATTGCAAGATTAGCAGTCAGTAACTATATACCACGATATTCAAGTCTGGCGGACATTATGCGATTAAGTCCTCTACTAACTTTAACTGTTAGAACTAACTTAATGTAACAATGACTTTTTTATGTATTTTGAATAGTTTGATAGTTAGTGCATCACTTATAATTATATTATATGTGTGGCTATTGTGCAAATGTTTGTATCTTACATTTTACTTTAAACGTGGCTTAAAAAGAGTTAATTGTTCTTTATTGTAATTATGTAGGCAAGTACATATTCCGTATTTATGACTAGCTGAAGTAATTGACAACGAGTTAATTTTTTTTAAAGTATTATTCTTGATTTAATAGCTGAATTGTAAGGAGACTATTTTTTTTTAAGTGTCAGTTCTAAAAAGAATTTAGTAAAAGATTTCTCATTGTGTGTGTTATATACTATATTTGAGAAGACTCAAATACAAATCTTGCCCAAATGATCCTTTAATATATATACATATATATATATATATATATATATATATATATATATATATATATATATACTCTCTGTACTTTTCCAAATATCTTAATACTTTTATATGAAAAAAAAAGCTTAACAGAAATAGTTTATTTACGACTTTGCTAAATGAAGATGAAAACACATAAGTGGGAGAGGGAGGGAACTCTAACGATGCCAGTAAATTTGAAGGCCAAACAGATGATCAGCAAATATTTTTGCTGCCTCAATAGAGTGAATAGTGTATCCTTTTTGCAATTTCCATAATAATAACAGTGATGAATTTTTTAATCTCCCTAGAATTGTATTAGATTCTAGGTCTGAGTTGTTTTGTCTCTGTGAGAGTAGTACTTTAGGTTTAAAAAGAAAACGTAACAAAAAAAACCCTTATCGCAGGATTGTATGTGCTTCTGCAAATCAAACAAAATGTGTTTTGATTTAGTTATTGGATCAAAGATATCTAATGAGAGAGCTTATGACGTGAAAGCTTTTATTTTTAAATGACGTAATATCGCCAAAGGAGACACGATCTTCAAAATTTTACCAATCAGTTAATAGCAATTACCGTATTTGTTTTAATTTAAGCTACACCTCAAACTCTCCACATGTTTTTGTGAAAAAATAAAAAGTAGTCCTAAATATAATTAATCAAAATCCGATATTTACAAAATTTTTAAAAAAAACTTAAATGAGGACTAATAAGAAATGTATAATTAGTTTATTTTACCAGTATTAATAATTTTTAAATAATGCTTGAATCTATTTGCTCTAACCGTCAGTATCAAACTCAATTTTCGCCCATCCGACGAATTTTTCAGTCTTCGATTCGAAGCCGCACTCGCTTTTTAGTATTAAAAACATTAGAGAAAAGTGCGGCTTATATATTCCAATAAATATGATAGTTTGAACTGTCATTTTCTTTTTAAAACCCTTTTTAGTTATATTCTTCTACTATTTTGCTATAATGATGAGAACATGGAATTTGCCGATGAAAGAAAAGCAATAAACATTTTTTTTCAAAGGAAGGGCATTTTGCAAAAGCTTTTTCGACGAAATGGTTATGCTACGCAGATGGAAGCAAGCAATTAATACCGC